GATAATACTAATATTAATACTAATTTTAATACTAATAGGAGAAAGAGAGGGAGGGAAAAAAACACAAGAAAGACAAGTGATGCACAATGCAACTGCTCACCACCCACTGACCAATATCCAGCCCAGCCAAGCACTGACTGGTCCCTTCCAGGTAACTCCCCTCAGTTTATATACTGGGCATGACATGCTGTGTTATGGAATACCCCTTTTGCTAGTTTGGGTCAGGTGTCCTGTCTCTGTTTCCTCATAGCTGCTTATGCCCCTCATCACTGGCAGAGCGTGAGACTGAAAAGTCTTTGATCAGGGTAAGCATTACTTAGCAACAACTAAAACATGGGTCTGTTATTAGCGTTGTTCTCAGGCTAAAGACAAAACACAGCACTGCACCAGCTACTAGGAAGAAAATTAACTCTATCCCAGCTGAAACCAGAACACCAATGTCCAATGGAAATCCAAGGCCAAAACAAGCAGTAATTATGTCCTTTGCTTCATTTTCAACCCCATGTCAAGTGGAAGCTGTCTTCTTGTACCATGAGTAGCAGTGGAGCTCACAGTTACATTTCATAGAGTAACAGCAGGAAGATAGAGGTAGCAAAGGGCATCTGTCTTGTCTTGTGCTTAGTAAGGTCATAGGCAGTGCATTCATGACCCATTCATGGTTATAGGCTGGGGCATATCACATCTCCTGGGACACTTGGAAGAGGAGTGAAAAGCAATATGCCTTGTTTACTGATGGGTTCTGCCATGTTGTGGGAAAGCATCGGAGATGGAAGGCAGCTGTATGGAGTCCTGGATGACAAGTTGCAGAAACTGCTGAAGGAGAGGGTGAATCGAGTCAGTTTGCCGAGGCGAAAGCCATCCAGCTGGCCCTGGACATTGCTGAACGAGAAAAGTGGCCAGTACTTTATCTCTATACTGACTCATGGATGGTGGCAAATGCCCTGTGGGGGTGGTTGAAGCAATGGAAGCAGAGCAACTGGCAACGCAGAGGTAAACCCATCTGGGCTGCTGCACTGTGGAAAGATATTGCTGCCAGGGTGCAGAACCTGGTGGTGAAGGTACGTCATGTAGATGCCCATGTACCCAAGAGTCGGGCCACTGAGGAACACCAGAACAACCAACAAGTGGATAAAGCGGCTAAGATTGAAGTGGCTCAGATGGACTTAGATTGGCAATATAAAGGTGAATTATTTTTGGCCCGGTGGGCCCATGGCACTTCAGGCCATCAGGGCAGAGATGCAACATACAGATGGGCCCGTGATCAAGGGGTGGACTTAACAATGGACACTATTGCCCAGGTTATTCATGAGTGTGAAACATGTGCTGCAATTAAGCAAGCTAACGGTTAAAGCCTCTTTGGTATGGAGGAATGATGGCTGAAGTACAAACATGGGGAGGCCTGGCTCGTATTTTATCTCTCTTTTCCCAACTGAAAGCTGCCAGCATTTCTCTGCTAAATCTTTCTTTCCTCTCATAAGTAAAGCACTCTTGCTGAGGAAACTTTTCTCCCTGCTCCTTCTGTGTGCCCTGGGTTATTCTGTCTGTACTGTGCAAGATGAGGCTAAAAAAGCTCAAGGAGAGCAAGAAGCAAGGAACAGAAACTGGGAAGCCAAGTGCTACAAAGAAAAAAAAGCAGAACAGTAACTGCAACTGGAGCCTGAAGCATTGATTGCCAAGTGCAGGAGCTAAGTGGGAAAAGAAAAAGTTACAGTTCAATAACAAAGACCACACTTAATTTCCCCTTCTGGATCTTCACCAAGATGAAATTTGCTTTGTGTGTGTGTGTGGAAAGCAACTGTTGCAGGGAACATTAACAAAGCAAAATTGTTTCCAACTGATCCTGGAAGAGAAAGAGTCCAAACGGGAAAGAAGGAAACTGATGAAAATAATGTTTCCACAGAAGAGGACTTGCAGAATTTGACCACTTTCATACTTCTTGACACTGCTATCAGGACCTGGGAGTTGAACTCTGTGCAGAGAACCTAAGGACAGTCACCAGCTTGTTCCCAGCTTGGTTTCTGGCTGGGGAAACCCCTTGCTGCCAGGCAGCAGAACCTGGTCAATAGAACGTGGGAACCCACTGGTGGGAAGCCTGCACATTATGGCCTGTCCGACTGCAGTGTTGGCACATCACAGTGGGTGGCATATTTGTCAAATATATAATGCTAATTTGTGCTAATGTCTAGGGGTATATTTGATCCTGGAAATGAGATCAAACGTAAAACCAGGAGCTGGACCAAATATGGACTGGAAAGTATTGCTGGTGAACAGCTATCAGAGAGACCAAGTACAGCTGCACTTGCTTGCTCAGAGTGTATCTTGAGCCTAGATGTGCCTTTAGCACAACCCAGGTGAATGTGATCAGACCTAGTCCTTGCCTCCATGCTAGAGCATGGCTGGAGGGATGTTGCCTTACCTGGGGGATGCTGATGTCCACTGCACGCACCAAAGCATGCAGACCCTGCAACCTGGCACTTTGTCCTCATGACCTCTCACACGGTGGGTTTCCAACCAGAGGAGTTGGGGTTGTCAGTTCCCATGCTGGGCATTTTGGAGGTTGCGTGATGGGCAGGTTGTGGGGAAGAAAAGCCTTCCTGAGCCAATGACTCCAAACAGCCAGCCAGCAGCTCTGATCCCACACCTCCTGCCCATCCAGCTCCTGGTAGCCCAGCAGCCTGTCTTGTTCCAAGGTCCCCATCCCCACGGGGCTGGCTGATGGCAGCCACGTCACCCTGCAGGAGCAGGAACTGCAGCCAAGGGTAAAGGGGCAGAAAGGCGATGGGAAGCGTGAGAGTCTCACAGAAGTGCTTGTTTTTCCATCCCTGATGCTGATTTCTGTGGCTCTCAAAGGTGTTGACAGGCTAATTATGTGACCTGCTGTGAGGAGCTTGGGCACGGCTGCTGTCATATCTGTAAGAAAACCCAGCAATTTAATTAAAAAAGAGGCAGGTTCTCTCATGTGCATCATCTCCACCTGATCTATCTTCTCTGTGGTGCTTATTTCACTGCTAGCATGGAGCATTAGTCTTTTATTTTTCCTTTTTTTGTTATTTTTCCCCTCTTTCCCCTCCATTGCTCCTTCTGGCAGTGCTTGCTCTGATCTTTGCTTTATTTCCAAGCATCAAAAAGCAGCCTTTTTACCTGAGGCTTTTCCATTTCTCAGGCATGTCAATGCAATTCTGTTCCCCCCCCCCCCGCTGCTGAGGGATTTGGGGTGGACTTTGGCTTCTGCCATCTCACCCCATACTCTGAGAGGACAGAGCATCTCCCACCTTTGCCAAGGGAGTGCAGGGCTCTTCCTTCAAAAACTAGGGCATTAAGCACTTCTACTCAGGGAAGGTCACCAAAGGTTGTCCCACTCCAGGGTGAGGACCCTGCTTGGTCTCCAGCAGAAACACGTGTTTCCACAGTGCTTCAGACGCATGGTTTTAATAGCAGCAGCAGCTTGCTTTGAGACTTGTCAGCAGTGATAAACTTAGTCCCATTCTGTTTCAAAATTGGTTTAAGATGCCAGGTTGTTAATATTTAAGCTGAATGTTCAATGTTTAAACACGGAAATTGTTCTGATTATCAGAAAGAGCATTAAAACAGGATGGAAACTGGTCTATAATCGCTGACAAACGCTGCTCATTCTCTGCAGCAGAGTGGTGCCTGGGAGCTGAAGGAGTTTCAGAAATGACAATTTTAATCAACTTCTTTTATTTCATTTGCCACTTACCACTCCCACAGCAGTGAGACGTGCTTTTTCCCTGCTAAGTGGGGAACATTGTACCTGGCCCTGTTTAACAGTTTGAGGCTAGTTCAGCTGAATTGAACTTGCAATAGAAATGTGCATGGAAAAAATGAGACTGGATTGTGTCAGCTCATGCATGTATTCCAGATGATTTGGGGTTCCTTTAGCATGTGCACACAAAACCTATGAAATTCAAATGTCAAGTTTGAAGTCAGCACAAAAATGAATGGCTCTGATTGCCACAAATACAAGTATAGATGAATATTTTTTAACAGATATGGACAGTGTTTTTTTCAGGTGATGGAAATACCCACTTGGGGGACGTATGTAAGGGTGCAGAACCATTTCGTGCCACAAAAGGCTTGTCAAGAGCAAGCGCAAGCTCCCTCCCCAGCCCCTCAGGCAGGCTTTGTGGTTGTGCCAGGTTACATGACTGGATAGTCCCAGCACACAGGAACTTCTGCTCAGGAATAGCTGAAGCTGGGGAGAACATATTCAGCAGGGAGTGCTCGAGTCAAACAGCAATGCACATTAGTCACTTTCCCCCCTTAAAATGTTCCTAAGGTGGATGCTAAACTGACCTGTCGAACAATCTGTCAAAAACCCTTTAAACGAGCATTTAATACTACAGTTTAGGGTGTTCAAAATTCAACATTGCTGCTTCCGACCAAGACTATTCACTCCTTTCCAGTGAGGGTAATTTGAAGTTCATGCAAAATTAAAGGTAGATGGGAAATGTGAAGCTGAAAATGTAGACAGTTTTCTTATCAATAATCTGTTCAGGCTTTTTTTTTTTTCCCTAGAAAAACCAGTAGTGGCCCGCTGATTCTCACACAGAATAGCTGTGAACAGTGAACAAAGTAGCTCAGGAGACATGTACTGTCTGTATGGCCATTTCTGTGTGATACTTAACACTGGCACCGGGAGCACTCACTCACATCTGATGACACAGGGCCACCTGAAGCACTCTTTCCCTTAGGAAATGGCTTCTGGTTCAGAGTCCACCATCACCTAGGCTGTAATTGGTCTGCACTTGCATTGTCTACAAGGCTTTTGTACAAAAAAAGTGAGAGGACATACAAATGCGGTTAAAGTGGAGGTTAGGATTGAAGACATCTTGGGTAGGTAGGTATTTCTGCAGGTGTATATGTATGGATCATGTTGAGCAGAGCCAGAGGTTGGTGGCTGCTGCATGTGATGTGCCCAGTGACTTTACACAGTAGAGAAACACCATCTTCCACAAACTCACAAAAAACAAGGCAAGAAAGAATCTGAAGAAAAGTTTATAGAAGAGCTCCTCTTATCAAGGTTTCAGGACCATTGAAAGGCACATTTCACCCGTGTCGAGTGACAGATGAGTCCATGGACACACACAATGCTCACATTTCAAGGCAAAAAGACAGCAGAATGGTAGTATGCTGTGAAACATATATTCCAGACTTCAGTTAAACACTAAAGTGATTATTTTAAGTGTATCATGTACAGAATAAGAGCAGAACAGGCAGATGCATTCAATTACTGTAATTTACAAGGCAGTAATTCAAGCCCCAAATATATTTCTCCTTATTGGAGGAAGGCGGTACAGATTACAAGCAAAATGAGGGGCAGTGAATTGACAGGGAGCCAGGAAGCTGCTGCCATTTGGAAAACAACAGCTAGCACCTGCTGCCATCTGAAGGGGCTTTAACTTTGCTAATTCATTTCACTCTGCTTCAACAGCAAATGTCTGGGCTGGATTGGGTGCTCTTGGGCCAGGAAGTAAGCCAGAACCACACCATGGCAGTGCCACACAGATGCAGACATACTTCAGAATAGGTAAGCATAGCTATTTGCTAGAAAGTGGGCAGAATAAAGTCCACTCATGCTTCCTCTTGCTGTTTAGAGAGCTGCTTCCTGCTAATTACCTCTTTTCATCCAGCTCATGGTAAAGTTTCACATTGTGATGATTAATAATTAATCAAAGGCATTTGAAAATTAATTTGGCAATTCTACATCTGATTGGCATGCTAATCTATTCTGTAAAGCAGGGAATAACCTCAGATATTCTGAGCTGCTAACCAAGGTGAATACATAAAGGCATTTATTACCTTGTGTGGTAAAAAATTAAGTGGTGAGTGATAATGAATGCATTCTCCAAGGCCCATTTGCCTTTTGACAAAGGCGTGATTTGCATTTTGCTTTGCCTGCATCAGGAATATGCCATCAGTATTATCATGTCCAATCAAAACAAATGGACAAGGAAAAGGCATATTTAAAAAACACCTCCACAGCTGACTTTTTTCTGGTTAGCCAGTAGCAATGGCAGGAGATTTGATACCTTAATTGTGGTACTAAAAAGAAAAATCACAAGAACATTTGCCCTTTCCAGCTGTCCATGCCACTTCTCTCCAAAAATAGCACTCATCTGGTAAAAGGGAAGAAGAAAGAGTATGCAGCTTTCACCAGACACACGGTCTCTGCTAGTTTCGAACTAGTAGTCCTTTTTTATAGGCAAACAGCCCTGCAGCAGCCACAGAGGTGAAACACATGGTTGAGCTAAGCAGGCACAGCAGTCCCGGCACAGAGGGCAGGTTCCTCTCCCAGAAGCTGGTGGTGAACGGTAGGGCTGGGACATCCTGGGGGAGAGAGGAGATGGTTACCCTCCCTCACTGCTTGAGCAAGGAGGCGGCAAACGTCCTATGCCAGGTTGGAGAGGTCACAGGTTTACCCCAACGACCAGACTGGGGGAAAGGAGTGCCACAGCTATGGAACACCTATTTTCTGTCATCCTAAAAAGCCACAAGGCAGTGAAGGTGGAGTTACTTGTGACAAGAAAGAGGTTACATTTGGCTTAAAACCATGGCCTGGGACAGAGCAGAACTAGGCTGATTTCCTGCATTTTGCAGTCCCCATGGCTCGAAATCTTTGTCCCTGGCTCTTTGCCATCCACACCTCTAACAGGAGTAACCATATTCCTCAGACAAAAAGAATTAATCCCATCAGCATGGGAGGTAACCAAAACCTTGCATGGGGTCAGGCCCCACAGAAGTCACTGAAGCAGGGACTGCAGCCTTACTGAGGGGTGTGTGCCTGGTCGGGTAACAATGAAAAAGTCTGGCTTACCTTTGACTCTGGCTCTGGCATCCAAATTTCATTCTCTGAGATCCTCCCCATTCTGTGCAATATCTACAAGAATTTTTTTTTTTTTTTCCACCAGAGAGAAAAAAAAATTCCAGTTTTGGAAAAGGAGAGCAGGTCAGAACAAAGTGACATTGTTAAAAGGCATAACTATGATCACCTGAAAGTGCTTTGAAACAGAATATGTATTGTGATTTCAGAGAGTAATTTCTAAAAATTAGGACTCAGAAATTCCCATGAACTGCAACTTCTCCAGATGCTTATTTCCATTTTTTTTTCCTGAGTACAAATATAAATGTTTTTTCATGTCACAGTTTGAGAATGGAAAGGTGAGATTACCACCACGCACTCAAGATGCAAAGCCTATTAGGAGTGATCACAAACTAGAAAAAAAGAGAAATACAACTCTGAAGCTTTCAAAGCATACATCATGAAGTTATCCCTTGGCAGTACAAAGCTCATAAAGGATTTTTCTTGAGAATAAACTGATTGTAACAATCATGGAGGTTCTTGAGGGCAAATGAGTGTCTCCAGAAGAGACAGCTCACTGACTTTGAAGCTACTGCTCACAGGCATGGAAAATAGAAAAGACAAATTAGGTGACTTGAAATAAAGCAAGTAATGATGATTATAAGATAAATATGATGGTCTGTCAAACGGAAGCAAAGGGCTGATTTTTCCCTTAAATAACAGTTCTGTGGCTCTGCCATACAGCAGATGTAACTGTAATGTATACCCTTTAATGTGTTTTTTTACTCTTCCTTCTAGACTGCTGTAAAGGGATTTCACTGTGACTGGGAAGCTAGCCCAGTGTGTGTCATTGTGAGGAGTTTTAGCCCTTATCAGAGCTGCCCATTACAAATTCATAAAGGAGAGCTAACTGTACTCTCTTGCAAAAGGAGAAGCAGACGGGACTGATCAAAAATGAGAACAATGCTCAGATTTACAAATTGCTGAATAGGAAACAGCTGCAAGTATTTATAATGACTTAAATTACTTTTAAAGCATACCGTGATTAACTTGTTAGACACTGTGGTAGTATATCTAAGGGCAGCATTAGGTTGTAGGTTTTTTTCCCTCTAGACATGGGGTATAGGGCATGAGCTTCATTTTGAGTCTCCAGCACAGCAACACACTGCATAATGTTCCGATTTGGGTGAGATTCTCGGTTTCACTTTATTCAATAACAAACTAAGTAACGTTGTTTGTTTTGTTTGTTCATTTAAAAAAAAAAAAAAAAAAAAGGGTTTGGTTCACACCCTTTTCTGGGATTCTTCCTCATCAATTCTAGCAGCTTCTACACAATTACAGGTTGTGATGCACAGAATCAGACCCTCCAAGCTGTACTTAATCCTTTTTAGCCTTTTAATAGAGATGTTGAAAGCAAACCAACGGTATGTACCTCTCTGGCTGCTCTCTCTCCTGCCTGTACGGCTCCTTCCATGTATCCACTCCATTGGGTAGCTGTCTCCGTGCCAGCAAAGTAGATTCTGTCAATGGGCTGGCGAATGATCCTTCAAAACAAGTGGAGAATGTAAGATGAAAAGTAACAGGAAGGTGATGATCTTTCTAAAAGCAATTTATGGACTTTGATGGGGCTCTCAGTTATCCAGAATTCCTGCAGACCTGGGCTGGGGAGCATGGTGCAATAAGCTGTCCCTGCAGGACCACATATTTGCTTCTATATACAACACTCAAGATCTGAGAAAGCGAAAAACTAAGGCATAAATCAGTGTGGCCAGCTTCTGTCCAAAATAGTATGAGACTTATTTTAGTGCTGGGATAAAGGATAATCCGAACAGCCTCCAGAAATACAGTGCAGCTGATAGATTTATGTTTTCTGCATGGCAGCTTTGTTGTTATCCTGTCATTACAATGGGATGTGAATGATGTTTTTGCAGTGGTGGGTCACTAATACCAGCTTCCATTTGGAGGCTAGACTTGCTTGACTGCTCATCCTGCCAAAAAGGGGATGGCAGCTGAAGGCCTTATCATTCAGAAAGTTGCATTTGCGCTGCAGGGTCATATAAGCCAGCCCCTCAGCTGTGCAAAGCTGCACAAGCATCCCAGTTAACCCAGCCCTAGGTGATAAGCTCCCTTTCCCATAGAAAGATGTGCTTGCTCTATGGACTCCCACTTAACCCCCAGTTAGGTTTTTCCTGTCTGCCTGACACCAGCTTTCCCAGGTCAGAGACATCACCCATCAAGTGTTCAGATAAATTACAGCAGAAGAGTCTATGCACAAGATGACTTCTTCCCACATGCATCTTGGCATAGAGATGGGAAGTAACTCCATGATGGACATTCTATGCAGCTCATGCTGCCATGTGCTGCATCGTTTGTCTGGTCTTTGATTATGGATACAAGACTTGTCTGGTTGTTCCTGTTAGTGCTGAGCCATGCCTTCCACAAACTTTTCAGGAATATACCTAATATTAATCAGTATTATCTACTGCATTCCTTCAGGAATACAACAATTCTGCATGGGGAGGGCATGGGAGGCTTTGCTGGGTGGAGGAGCAAATAAGTTTTCATGTAAGGGAAATGTATGTCTTCCCCTTGTGGTGTGACTCAACCAGCTTTATCAGAACCTCATGCTCCACCTACAGTCAGTGATGACTTTTCATCTGTCCAAGATGTGTGCCCTCAAGGTCTTAGAAAGCATTAAAGGGATCTGCTGAAAATATTGGGTAGCAGCAAATACTGTAAGTAGCCTAGTGGGGAAAGGTTTTGTGGTTCTAACAGGTCCCCTTGTGACTGTGTCTTCTTTCCTTGAAAGTCACAAGAGAACCACTGCTGTTATTAAAGTCAGTAGTAAGATCCTTATTAGCTGAAGAGTAGGGAAGAAGAATGAGGGTTGGCATTCCCCCAGTATGCTACATATGCCATAAGTTTATTGCATAAGTTGTATAATTGCACACAAGCTAAGGAACGTATAATAGAAAGCAAAGAATTCTGTGTTTTACCTTCCATAAGAATACATTATGCCTGGTGGGAAGTAGGCTGTGTAACAACCCCCTGAATATTGTTCCATGCTCCAGTTCTTTTCTTCATAGTGCACAGGCTGTAAGTATTAGCAAACATTAGAGAATGAGACAGTGACAGAGAAATTGGAAATAAAAATCCAAATTTCCTTTTAAGAGGGGAAAACCAGGCTAAGGATACCTGTCAAAGGACCATCCTGTCATCTGGCTAATGCTATCCATCTGCACAAAATGAATCTTTTCACTCTTACAGAAGCACTAGCCTCCCATGGGGAAAGGACAGGACAAATTAAACCATGCACTGCCTTCTCCTTTCTGTAAAGAGTGAGACTGGCAGCTCTTTTCTTCCTTTACTAGGTGCTGCTGCCCTCCCTTCGAGAGTATGGGTTGTATGGAACAATATGCAATTTCAGGCACACAATTTAGGTACCAAGAATTTTGGCTCCCTCTTCCAGAACAAAGGAGGAACATTACTGTACAACAGAGGTGAAAACAGGCATTCATTCCTTACATGTAAAGCCTCTTCCATCCCCATTGCCTTGGCATATGCCTCACAGATCTTCGTCTTCCTATATGAAAATAAAATCAGAGTCATGGTAAAAAAAAAAAAAAAAAAAAAAGGAAGGCGGAAAAAATTTCTCCGCTGTTGCTTTTGTTATATAAAAACATCACATTTACTACAATATACTGGACAGAAAGCTGAATTTGGCTTTGGTTTTAAGTCTGATTTCATGTTCTTATCTCAATATAAATATTTCAAATGCTGATGCCTAAATGTGACATCCAAAATGGACCTAGGGAATGTGAAATGAAGGTTGATTTTGGCAATAAGCTCTAAAAAAATAAATCTTTGTACAGTTATTTTAGTATGCAGAGCCAATTCATTCTCATGTTCACTGGTGTAAGACCAGAAGAGAAGCAACATAAATCAGCAAAATCCCTACAGATTTACTATAGCTCTCAACAAAATATGATCTGGAGAATACCATTCACACTCCTAAGCAGAGCTCTTTTTTCATTTGCATGTGTACCCAAAATCCCTTTTAGAGAGTACTGCTTGTTTGTTTCACAGGCTAAAGGAAAACCCATGCTGTTGTAAACATGGAGGTTTAAAGAGTTTGTCGCCTGGTGTGAATGTGAAGGACACCAGAAACTATGTATGTCAGTGCTCCCTATATCCCTAGGGTGAAGCACCATTCAGCAGGGATGCAGCCTTGGAATGTGGTAGGAAATATCTCTTCAGTTCACATAAAGACGCAGAGATGCTATGTCATAACATAGAAGAGTGGGCAGGACTCGGAGACTCATCCCTACCTGGATGACTATTAGCATTTGTGTCTTGGCCTGTTTATGCTAGAAGCTCAATCTTTGCCCCAGTTTCCATATTAGTAGTTGCGCTGAGAATGTGTATACATGAGTATGCACACACATATTCACACACATTCCTGTGGGGAACTATTCCAAAGAACTGACTGGCTTCTGAAATGTTTGCAGTTTCTGAACTCTTACCTCTCTTCCTTACTGAGATGGGCCAGTTTAACAGCTTTTCTGGTAAGGATGAAACTGAAAAGAAAAATACGGCATGTAAATATCACTCAGTGTCAGCACCCCGGCTGATTTGCAAGGTCTTGCTAGAAATTAATCCAAATTTTTTTTCATCATACCTCATTACTTAATAATTACAAGTTACCAGCCTGCACTGCCTACCCTCTTACAGCTAGGTTTTATCCAAAAGCATGGAGACCCTGAGTTTTCTTAAGCTTTTGAAGACTTGCAGACAGCTGGCCAAACCACTGCCCATGTCATTTGGTGTTAGCAGGTGATGGGAATCTGCTGCTCTGACAAGCACTGCACAGTGTCATGGACCAGTCCTGTTAAGAACTGGGATTGATATTTATTCAGCTTGAAGGAAACATATTTGGCAATTAGTTCATCTGACCTTACTGGAGATACTTGTGGGATGATGTTCCTGCACTCTTTTAGAAAGCTGCATAAATCCACAGGGAGAAAGCAGGAAAGTATCTTCCGTATGGGGTTTGGGGGAGGCTTATTGCTCTCAAGCTGTGGAAGTTTTTAAGCCTTGAACATGGCCATAAACATGCACAGTTCAGTAGAAGTGGTAAGCTTTCCTTGCCAGATACTTAAGGAGTAGTTGCCTGACATTTATATTGGCCTTTTTTTGGCAGTCTCACTCAACAGTGGAAACACTTGTAAAGATTGTTTGCTCACACTGGCTCAACCTATTTTAAAAGCCATCTATTCTGTATATTTCATACCTGTTTGTCCAAACTACAACTTTTTTACTTGGCAGTTTCTTCAGAGTTCCCATTTCTACACTGCACAGCTGCTGTCCCACTCAATCACCAGCTGATGTTCATTGTCTTGCCTCAGCACAATGGGGAAAGGAGGCAAATTAGGATTTCTTGGACAGCTGTACTTTCATTTTGGCCCAGGCACTAAACACAAGGCCCAACATAAGCCAAACACAGGCTCATAAAGCTAGGTGAGAAAGGGATTTATTTCTATATCTGCTCCACAACAACAAAAAATCCTTACCTGAATGGTTAAAATGAATGAACTTACATGAATGAACTACAGCTGATTTCAGCAAATCTTTCCCAGCCAGCTCCTTTGTACTAGGCTATTTGTAACAGAAGCTTCACCTAAAAAGTTACATGGACTAGAGAGGCATAAGATGCTTGTCAGAAGTACTCTCCTGTATCTATGAAGACTGTGGGACTGAGTACCACTGAGGTAACCTGGCCATTTCCCCTCTTCCTTCTCCTCCCACTCCTTCATACAAAACTGAATACACATCTGTAAGTGTAGGCTAGAGACTCTTAACCCCATAATGGCAGGGAAAGATCCATCAGGTTTCGTGTCATCTATAGTTATTCCAATTGGAGACTCTTCATCCTCAATGACGAAAGAACCACAATAACCTAAGGGAGGGAAAGAAATGAAAATTATTTCCAGAGAAACTTGTTGATCATTATTTTTGATAGCAATGAGCAAGGAAGATTATCCAAAAAGGAGCTGCACAGTAATTCCTTTGTCACCAATAATACCTACATGTCTGAAGTGGTTTTGTAACAGGCTTTCTCCCCTCTTCCCTCTGGCTCCGGGAAATTTTTTACACAGACTCATAAAAGTCATATTTAAATTCCAGTATTACTTAGCAAAGAATCTCTTTGGATTATTGCAGGTCCCTCTGGCTCTCTATATTGAGGGCAATAAACATTAAAATAAACAGATCTAGTAAAAACTATGAGTAACTTTGGCCAAAACAACAGCAGCCACAAAACCCAGTGTAATTGCATGTGGTCACAGTGGGCTCAAATTTACACCATGTATTGATTTTGCTAATGATAAGACTGTCAGCATTGGTGTCCCATAACACCATTGTAATCTGGTGTCACATCAGTACATGTTCAGATGAACATGTAAAAATTCCCATATAGATAACAGTGTATAAACCTGCCTACATTTCTTTCTAATCCCAATGGCTGGTTTATACCCTGGAACATGCAAACTTATACTCTTTTGATTAAGAAATATTCTCACCCAGTACAACTCTCAGTATCATTACACAGGAAGTGGAAACGGATCTGTTCATACAAATAGTTCTCGAAATTATATCAGTTAAAGCTGAGAAACACAAGATGTTGCAGCACGGGATAAAAATATCTTGAGTTAAACAAAAAGCTAACCTATATTTTCCAGCCCTCTGAGACAATCAAGTCTATAGAACAGAGGATTAAAACCAGGGAAAGGTCTTGCTTACACCTTAAGCTTTCTTTGTCATCTGCTATAAACTCTTTCGCTGCACTAACTGTCCCTGGCAGGGAGAAGCAGGGACCTGCTGCTGCAGCTTTCAGCAATGCTTCCCAGGGAAATCATGCTTGTTCTCTAAGTCATCCCTCCTCAGCAAGCAACAATGATTCTGTTTGGTTCTGGCCCCATCTCTGGGACATGGTGTGCACTCAAGCTTGGAGGAAGAGCTCTCCTTTCTAAGAGCTTTACCTTTCACTTTTCTGCGTGTTTGGTTTTGGTGTTTTGCACCTTTCACCCCCCATTGGATTTATTTCCCAAGTCTTTCATTTTCCCCACATACCTTTCCTCTCCCAGAAGGCTTCCCTGTAGTACATCATGCATTTTATGACACACCCCATAGGCAAACGCTGAATTAACTGGTTTCTCTTTGGTGGCAGTTCTGGTTTGTAATGAATCTTTGTTGTCAGGATTGGGGGAATAGCACTGATCACATACTTGCCCTGAAATGTAGAACACAGTCAGTACAGACAAGGCACTGCCTCTCACTGAGCTCACCCTGCAGGACACTTTTGAAAGATGATCTTGTTAGCTGTTAAACAGATTTCCCACACCTGACTCTACTACTTAGTTTTCCCACACTGATATTTCTAAGTGACCAAAATAATTCTGCCATTTCAGAGAAAGGAGATGGGAAAAGCATATTTTTTTGCAGGTAGATGATTCTTGACAGCTTTCCAGACACTACAGGACCAGAGCCAAAACTTGGCTGGAGACAAATGAGAAATAGAACAAGACAGATCTTATTGCATAGGTAAAATTGCCTTTTATCATGGCCAGAAAAATCTGAACCACATTTGTCCATTGTAAAATGTTACAACAGCTTATAATTTGTACATTATAAGCTGTTACAGCAACAACAAAAAAATCACATACTGTATCCCTCTTGCAGGTACTGTGTGTGATTGGAGCAATGAAGGACACTGTTTCAGGGCTCAGGGTGACACTGTGTAACAACTGACGCTTCCGCCATCAGGTGCTGTCATGCAGGAATCCTGCCTCCTCTAACTTGGCTTTCAGCCAGCCGGCATGGAGGGAAAAGCAAGAGGTTTTACTCTGAGGTTTAGAAACTTGCAGGTGAGTGAGATTCCCTCCTCCAGGACATCCTTAGACCAGCTTCTCTTTCAAACAGCCGCTTCCCTTTCTGCTAACATTTTCTAAATATCCCGGGAACACTGCCATCAGTGAGATGGAGATCTTGCAGACCCTGGTAGTCCTGCACAAACCTCTGTGGCAGGCTGAGCTCTGTGTTCAGAAGGGAGTTGCCACCCTATGTGTCCACTGCAGGTAATCATTTACTGACGGAGAATTTCACAGCACCACTGCACATAGGCCAGATCTTACTAAAGGTGTTTGAAATGTCTTTTTTTGTTGTTCTGCAAACCAGAAACTTCTATATGAAGAGAAACATTATTTTTTCTTTCTTTGAAATGGTCTCAATGCAGAACTAAAATGTAAAAATAATCACAGAAAATGTGATTAAGACAGAGTAATGACAGAAGCTAATTAGCAGCACACCAAGAAGAGACCCAGTCATAAACAAATCTGTAAAGCAGGCTTCACAGAGTGTCAGCATTGTCCGAGAAATGGACACACACAACTGGGTACTTCCTAATTACATCTGTCTAAGAGCTACAGCAGATGTATTCCCCCACTAAATGCCTACTCTACTTTTATTCTGATCAAATTACCTCATATATCTCATGGTTTAGAGTCTCCACAATGACATTATCACCTGTCTGATCAATACGGACCACAGGTCTCTCGAGTCTGACTCTGCCTTTGAGGCGTTCCATTATTTTCTCTGATATCTGACCAGAGCCCCCTTTAAACTTCCTCTCCTAAAAAATAAACAGAAAAGAAACAGAAACAAAAATATCACCAGCATTAATCATGATGACATTCAATAAGACTTCTGCTTATAATAAAGAAACTCCAGGCCAGATCTGCAAGTCCTAAGGTGCATAAAGTGGCACAGACTTTTAGAAGAGCAAAGGCATAAGCCTGAGCCTCTGTGGGGATTTCTGTCTAAGCCATATTTGCAATGGTTTCCTCAATTTGCTGAAGTAAAGACTCTTGAAGCCCAGTGAACAAACACATACAATGCAGGTATTCCAGCTAGTATAAACATATCACCTCATTAAAACATGTTTTGAGTGTTTAACACATCACTGTGCTACCAAAGCCCTCTTGTGTGACAAAGACACCAGCTTGCATCCATACAGTAAGCCTGCACCAGTGCAGGAGTAAGACAGATCTTTAGCTGCGTCTGGCCTCAAGTGCAGCAGACAATGAGCTTTATCTCTCCCTGGAAGGCATGAAGACATGCTGTCTGGAAAAAAAGCACAACCTGTGACACATATTTCCTTGCAATGTCTGTGCAGATGCTCAGGGGAAGCAGTAGCACTCTTTTATCTAGTAGCCGTTAGCATTATATCAAGCAGCTCACTTCTACATATAAGATGCTGGTCTTGGCAGCATCTGCTGAAAGACTGAAATGGCTGTCTGAAGAAGTCTTGTAAGACTCTTAATGGCCACTAAGTCAGAAACTCTTAGCATTTTTGTTCAACGGGTTTGTACTGGGGTGAGGGGAGAGTGAGGGATGGTAGAAACCAAGACAGATTGCCCCATCTGGCCACGAAGAAATGGAAGTGCTCTTCCCAGGCTGGCTTTCCCTTCTCCAGGTCTTGTTTAGATACAAGTATCTTGGGATTAATTTTATTTCTAATTCTTGTTGCAATGTCTAGCAGTTGCTGACGTGGCTGCAATGTTGCAAATGAGGAGCTCCTGGGGAGGAAGGCTCTCAGGTCTTGCTCCTACTCCAGGGCAGCTCTACTTGTATCCTTGACACAGAGTTGCCTCTTCTTACTCCAATAGACAGATGTTGATGGAGCCTTTGCATTTCTCCAGGCAACTTCCCTTAATGTCTCCCTATCCTGGCACACTTGGAAGGGTGTGACGCTGTTGCTGGTTTTGCTGTTGGTAGCTGAAGTTTGAAATGCTACATGTGCTTTCTGAGGCTGCCAGAACCAAAGTGAGAAACACTGAAGTAGCTCATAAAACATGCTGCCATGCGAGCTGTCCCAAGAAGGAAGGGTCTTTCACTACTTAATTCCAATTCTTGTCATTAGAGGCTTCAATGCCAAAAAAAACACATTGCACTTGAAGTACACTTGCTTTGAAGTCTTGAAAACATTCAAATGTGCTAAGTAACTCGTAGAAAACAAATTGGCAAAAAAACCCAACAAAATAGCAACAGAAGAACTTTGTTGAAGTGAATGCAGGAAAGAACTATTGACTAAATTGTCCCAGCTTATCCCAAAACCTAGCTAATAAAATTCCTCATTGTACAGAGTTAGCCAAGAGGGCTGTTCCAGTCCATGGGAACACAACTGTCTCCAGTGCCACATGCACTTGGTGTTTTGCCCTCTTTTCATTAACTGCAGGGCTTCGACAAGTATAATACTCCACTTGTTTTTTATGGTTTCAAGGGAGGAGGAAGAATATGAGACATTTTATACCTGGCCTCCATTGGTAATAGAAAAAATCCTGGCTGTGCCCCCACACTGCCTCACGTACCACAGGAACCAGAGAGCGGAGACTTCCTGAGGCTCAGACGTGACGTTGACATTCACAAAGAAGGTGGCAAATTCTCTAACAGCTCTGCATGAGACACAAAAGCAGAAGCAGCCAGTGGGTAAACATGAGTTTCTGACTGCTTATAGGTTTTTCTTTGTTATTCTCAGCAATGGCCGCTTTTCCAAAGTCGGAAAAACCAAGGTGATTTTTGTGTGTGTCACTTTTAATTTGTAGCAAGTCTGTTTCAGTGGTTTTATATCAGCACCCCTCTCTGCCCCAAAGCATTTACCCATTCAGTAAGAAATCCTGCTGATTTCACCTTAGTTCTTTCTTTAGTTTCCCAGCTGCTATTCCTTTCATGAGAACAAGTATTTTTCTCAACATAAGAATGCATTTGGTAACCTATTAGTGAAACTCTTTTGCATTTCATCTCCATGGGGAGCCCATCGACCACATCATTTCCAAGGTCTGATGGGTCCTGAGGGACTCAACTAGCCAAGACATTTTTCATCTCCTATGTAACACTGATACACAGACTTTTTGTGAAACCAAGAACCAGACATAGTAAATAACTCAGAGAAACCAAACTGGCAATCATTGTCATAAACATAAGGAGAGGACCAGCTGTCTACCACAATGAATGTAAACAGAGTTCCAGCAGCAGGAAATGAGCAGGACCTGGCTATTCACATTTCTTTCATTTGTGGCTACAGATTGCTAAAAGAATTGAGATCATTTTGCAAAGAAGATGAAATGTCTTTGATTTCAATAAAGTTTCATAAAACAACATGAATTTATCATCATCTTAAAGGAAGGAATTTTGAAGGTTATCTAGGCTAAAACACGTAACATATAAACTTCCATAACTTCATTTCCCTGGGTATTAAGTCAAGTCACCTCTATTTCTTAAACCAGGGTATGAAAACATTCTGCATGCAAGAACCCTCTGCTGCAATCCTGAAAGCATCAACACACTAAACAGCTGTAACACGTTCACACCTAAGAAATATGAAGAGAATCTCCAGGATCAGAAGATGCTGATCTGTGACACATGACAAGCAAATTTTCTTTTATAATCTTGTCCCAAGTCAGAGAGAAAATGCTGCAGAAGAGCTTTTTTTTTTTTTTTTTAATTTTAGGGTGCTATGGTTTTTAACTACTTGCAGAAAAATCTGCCTTGGCTTAAAGATCTAAAACGACTTCTTACTGAGTTTTTAAACATGTTTCAGCTGAGCTTATCCATTAAAACTGAAGTTTCACAAAACCATCAGTAGTAGAAGCAGTCTTGCAGAGAAGTGTGTTAGAGGAGAGGTCACTATAATCTGTAAGTTCTGCTTTTATTCCACTGGCTCCCTGACTAAGAGGAACAGTAAAAACTGGAAGAGAAAAAGCCAGAGCACTTGCAACAGGAAGGATAGTTCAAAGTAACTGAGTTTGCAGGCAAATGGCTCATAAAACTAATGGTAAAGCAAACCACAATGCCATAGAGAGCAAGAGCAAGAGCAATTCCAAACAGCTGTACCCTATATCACATGGAGCTGGAGCAAGATTTAAGCTAGCAAAACAAATTGCAAATGGAAAGTTTTGATCAGGAAGCTGCAGGCATAGGGCTAAAGCACAGTCAGAATGAAAGAGCAAACAGCACAGCTGCACACATAAAAGTCGCTGAATACGAGAGGAGGGGAGGAGAGTGTTACAGAAAAGCACTGCGGATGGCACAGAGAGAGGGGACACAAGCTTACATGAGCACACTTCTCTTTGCCTTATAAAAAGAATTAATTGAAAAAGAAAAGGAAGAAAAGTGTATTTCCAGTTGTTATCACCTCTTATTGAACATTGTTTGGTATTTTTATTCATACAGTTTGGTCCCTCAGAGACATATAAAAAACACAGGCCATTTTCTAGGTGATACAACAACTTGGACCCTCTTCCTGCCAACTAGGGTTGATGCTCTCTTGGACCTGCTACTCACAACAAGAAAGACCTGTTGGATGAGGCAAAGGTGAAGGGCAGCCTTGGGTACAGTGGCCATGGGACTGTGGAGTTCAAAATCCTGAAAGTAGTAAAACAAACAGCAGAATAGCAGCCCTGGACTTTGGAAGAGCTGATTTTATGCTCCTTAAGGACCTGCTTGGCACCGTCTCATGGGAAAATACCCTGTAGGACAAAGAGCCTCAGGAGAGCTGGCTGTCATTCAAGGACAGCTTCCCAGGAGCAGAGGGAGGGTGCACTACAATGGGCAGAGCTGAGCAAGCGCAGCAACAGGCTTGCTGGGATGAACACAGCACTCAACAGGATAAGGCACAAACCAGACAGGGAAGGGAAAGGAAACAAAAAAGGTTTCTTCAGCTGCCTTGTTTCTCTCTAAGGGTTTTGGTGGCCCAGCAGGCACTACTGCTGAAACAAGGAGCAGCATCTGAACTTTTCCAGAGTTTCCAGAGCCAACAGCTGCTCACTTCCCACTCTTCAGGTCTCACACTGCCCTATCCATTGAGTGACCACTGGAGAGCAGCTGCCCTCTGGTACAGCATGCTGCTCTGCCATTTGCCAGCAGCATCTCCCTGCTGCTTGGTACATGTGATGCAGGTCACACAATAAACTCCATTTGATGTATACGATAACAATGCAGGAGAGGACCTAGCCAACAGTCAGGGAACATCACTCCTCAACTCCTAGCTCACTGTGGGGCTGGGGAAGCCCCCTCACCTCCTTCTATCTCCATTTTTATGCCTGCAAGTGGCTTTTAGTCATGCCTATAAAGTGTTTTATTTAAATGGTTCTTTCCTAAAGACAAAGGCCCATGCTCTCTAACTGCGTGAAGTGAAAGCATGGTGGGAAGAGCCCACACTGTCAGTCCTGTGTGCATGGGCCTCCTGAGGCAAACCCCATGTTTTTTCAGTACCTTAATCCCACCTGCCAGCCAAACCAAGCTCTGTCATACCACCTTGCCCTTTACAGGCCATCAACCCCTCAACAGCGCATCACAAAGACCAGCCTCATCTCAGATACTTCCTGCTCTCTCATCACCTGTACCCCTACTGTACTCAGCTGTACCCCAGAATTTGCCACTGTTATTCTAGATAGTAGCTAGATTTCAAAGTGAATGAAGAGTTATGTACTTGGTCCAGCAAATCTTATTTATCAGCTCTTTCATGGTCATTTTGTCCCATTCTTCAGCATGTGGAGCATCCCATGGTGCTTCTAAAGGAATCTGGAGAGAGAGGTGAAATACCCAAGAAGTTACTTAGTACTATATCATTGCCTGGTCATAGCTAGTTAGTAACACAGAGCTGACTGACATATTGACCAGAAGTTGCTTTTGTCCCCCTGTAAATTTAGAATAAAGCAACTAAATGGAATAGTTTCCACTCACAGCTTTGGGCATGAATTGTACTGTGACCACCAAATCTGGCTTTGGCTGACCAATGAACTACATCCTTATGTTGGGACTCATCTGGCCTTTAGTTGTCCAGAAGCAAGGTGTCTGTTCTAATTCAGTTGTCCTGATATCCTCTCATAGCTGAGGGAAAAATTTCTCCAGTCAAAGATTCAGTCAGATGGGTATTCAAAGGCCCCTATGTCTCACTGTCAACTACAGAGGGAGCAGAAATCCCTAAATACTACTCAATTCTTTTTAGACAGTTAAATTCTTAATAGTAATCCATTGCATCAAAGTACCATGACATGTGATGACACTAATACATATCTGAATCTGTAAAGAATATGTATTATTTTATAAAAAAATTGTAGTATCATGGACAAACTTGATTCTGCAAAACCACATAAACCAAATGAACTTTGCAGGAACATTGTTAACTATGCTTGAAGTTTGTTGTAGGGTAGGGCCCCTGGTTTGAAGCCAGATTATAAGGCAACTGGTAAATATTTGGAAGACAGCATGATGTTCCAGGCTAATTTTTGTGCACAGAAAGGTTTGCGGCTGTACTGCTTTAATTTTGAAGGCATTTACTGTGTAAGAATTTTAGAAATGAAATTTTAGACATAAAATAAAATAAAGCCAATTTTTAGACATCTACAAAAAAAAAAAAAAAAAAAAAACAACCCAAAAACAAAATACCCCACAAAAAAAACAACAAAACAAACAACCCACCCCCCCCCAAATCATTGTTACTCAAATAGGCTGTCACAAGGGAAGGGGAAATACCCTTCTCATTTCCCAGCTCATGGAATGGTTTTCCTTGGCATGAGAAAATACATATACTGAGGTTCAACCTCATCTTCTTCAGATATCTTAGACATCTTTGGACTTTTTTGTATCCTCTCACGGAGTCATAGAATGGTTTGGGTTGGAAGGCACCTTGGAAGCCCTGTTATTCCTGATACTTCCCGGGCAACACAGGTATTTTTCCTGATGGATATTTCTTTTCTTTTTTGTAATAAGAAGCAATAAAAATGCCTGCCAGATACAAAACAAACCAAAACCAGATTTGCTAACGGTGACGTGAACATTTTAAGAAACAGATGTAATTTACACAGCCTACCTCTTTTCCCAGCTTGTCCATGGTCCTCCAGAAGTTATTGCAGTCCAAGTAAACTAAGGGATTCCATGTTGGAGGGGAAATACCTGTGAAACAGCATGACTTCCCCTAAAATACACATAAGAATGTAAGCAACTGAAATAGAATAGAGCATATCTTCATTGCACAAGAACACAGCTCTCAAAGTCATCACATGGTTGACCTTTTGTGTTTTGGTGTCTAAGCACCTTTATGGTACACATCACCTATAAAAGCAAACATGCCTCTTTATTATTCCAAGTACCCTGGTAGAAACCTGCCAAAAAGGGGTTTTAACTTTAGGAAGAAAAAAATCTATACAGTTTTAAAAGTGGTATCAGTACTTACAATGTGTATAAAACACAACTGCAACAGATAATTATCTCTCAGATAATCCTGTGATATCATGATAAGCAAAACTGTCTAACAGCAGATGGTTCTTTGTGATAACTTTAATCTGAAATAACTGAATAAGCAGGCAACATTTTCTCATAATAAATTGCTTGGAACCTTCCCCTATATAAATCAACAGCAAATTTCTCATCAGAGCTCTTTAACTGTTTTTGTTCTTCCAGGTGTGTCAAAAGTTTGCATGAGGTCACGTGGCAGGATGCAGCAAACATACTGGATGAAGACAGGTAGGAGCTGCAGTTCTAAGAGGTGTGCAACGTGCTTTTCAGTGCAGTGCATACCATGCCAGCACATCACACCTGGCAGGTGGGACTCACAGACCAAGTGAGAGGCTGCAAATGCATAAGATGGTGACCCAGGGACAGAGGGACTCTAAGCAAGAGCCAAATGCGCCTTCCCCATGCTTAGTGAAAGAGAATTTATAGGTCTTCCCCACTGGTAATGGTGTATGTGTGTGTAAATATAAATGGATTTCTGATATTCTTCTGAACATTTTTCTGCAAAGATCTTAAGGAAGATAAATGGTGCAAATGAAACTCAGAGACCACGGTGAGCTTCCAACCTTGGAAAAAGCAGCAAAAAAAAATCCAAATTCCCACATTTTGGTCAATGTTTGCCAGCCCCAGGGCAGGTACAACGGAGGAGACAAGAGTACATGGGTAAGGGAGAGAAAAATTGCTGTGGCCAATACTGCTTGATTCTTCTCTCCCCGGAAGACGGCTGCAGTGGTAGCCGAACCCTGGGGTCCATGTGGGCCCATGGTGTACCTCCTCCTCATTTTCAGTGAGTGCATCTGCAGATATGCTCTCCTGTTCAGTCTAGACACAGTAATCTCTGCTCTGGGCCAAGCAAAGAGCAATCTCAGTACTTAGTTCAGTTTGAGATCCAAGTGCTTAAAGGCTTTTGTTAAATACCCAACAAATCTTGAGTTTTCAATTCACCAGGATGATTCTGGAGGTGGTTGGTTACCTCTGGATTTCTGTGTATGTAATCTTAATCTTGTGTACAACATTATTTTATTTTTTTTTTTTGGTTTGGTGGGTTTGGTTTTTTTGTTTGTTTGGGTTTTTTTTTTGCTTTGTTTCTTTTATCCCCATTTCATTCTGGTTTAGGGAGCTATGTTGGAGGAAGGTGGGCAGGGAATGCTGCTCCAGCCTTCTCCAAGTGCATGTGTGTATGCGAAACACAATCCTGCCATGGCAAGGGCAGAGAAAATTCTCCTATGAACTACCAGCAAGGGAATCCTCTGCATGACTTTGCATCTTTGTTTTCCAGAGTACAATTTCTCACTGCCAGTTTGGAGCACTGTGTGTTCAGCCACAGAAAAATGGACAAAAGACACATGCAAAAGGATATACTGCATGCTACGGGTTTTACTATCATAAACCCGTGCTGTATCAAACAAGGAAATTGCTGCACAAAGCAGTGATATATTGCTAATAATTGTCTTCTTATTGTACAACACTTTGTTTTCGCAAAAGATCATCAAATACTGCTCCTTCAAAGTTCATTTGTTGCTAGACTTCTTATTCTGGTTAGAATGCAGGTGCCATCAATGTGTCTTCCTTCACATGCTTTAACATCAATAATCCTGCCCTTAGACAGAGGTGAGGTACAAAGCTGTCAGGCTATCCAACAACAGGTAAAGATAAGTTACTACTGCAGTTCTGCCATGTCAGTACTGCAAAGGACAAAGGGAAAAGATAAGCCTGCCATTCAGGAGTTGCATGAAAACTTTCCAGTTTTTCACTGTTGAGTGATACCTCTTTTCAACAGACTTTCTGATAAGTGACTGTGTTTGTACTGGGTGGTGTAACTTGCAAACACCACTCCTATCCTCAGCTTGCTTAACTCTAAAAAGAAAGTAAAAAAAAAAAAAAACAACAGGAAAATAACTTCTTCTAAAGTTCCTCTCCTCCTCTTGTTTTCAGCCAATCTTACTCCTTATATTGCTGGAAACAACACCCCAAGAAAAGTCTCTCCCAGAAACTCTATGATGAGCTTTGCACCAAAGCAACTTTCCCAACCCTCAGCATTAACTTTACTGTGCTCAACAGCTACAGGCTGAGAAACTCCTGAACTATCTGGATTGCTTCAGACGGGGCAATCAGCGAGTGAACACTCCCACTGGCTGGCTGATACTTTCCTCCAACTTTTCCACCTCTGTGCTAGCTTTAGACCACCAGAACCACAAATTGCTGAGGACTGACCAAGAATATGACACATATCACACTGGATATTCACTTACCTGCTATTTGAAAAAACAACTATCCTTTCATTACCTATCTGAAAACACTATTAACCTCACATCTTTGGTCAATGGTATAGCCCAGGGAGATTGATGGGAAAACATATTTTATCCCCTGAAAACTAGGAAATGCCAACTTAACAGTCTAAACTTAACAGTCTAAACATTCATAAGAGTTTAAAGCTACATTACTTGTTGCTCTCCTCTGCATGCAAAAAAAACCCATAACTTCAGTAAGACTGGAAACCAAGGGCAGGAAAAGCTGGAAAAATACAACAGTCCAACAGACTTGAAAGAGCTTGAGACTGAATTCAGAGAGCCTGAAATAGTTCATAGATACACTAACTCCTTACGCAGGGGGGGCTGAACACATAAGAGGAAAGCCCAATTCTAACAAATTCCAGGAGAGAAATTCCCATTGCTCACCAGAGAGCACATGACAAGCAGCCTTAGCGACATCGGTTTTTCAACGCTTTTGCTCTTGCACAAGTATCTCCACAGCAGGGAATAAATCTAGCCCAAATGACCTGGGGCTGGTAAGTTATTCATTTGGTTTTAATATTGCCTCCCTACGAGGCAAAGCAGCTCTGGCTACGTATTTCACAGAGGAGATCACTGCAAGCAAGCAAGGTCTTGCAATATTCCATTTTAAACAATTTACAGTGTTCTGGGTGTATTATTTTGAGAACAACTGTTTTCTTAGCTGGAAGGCAAATAACCTACTGGCTTTGCCCCCATGCTAACACAGGGCTGCCTGCCTGACCACAGGGTTTATCTATTTTTTTTATTATTTTTTTTTATTTCATTTCCTGGCCTGTTGAATGCTTTCCTGCAGACCTCAGATTTGGGTCCTACTGCCTGCCTGGATTAGTTACCCCACACCAATCCAAAGGAAATAATATCCCTAAGCACCATACTTCAGCGGCTGGAAAGGCAGCAGAGCTGTGCTCTGCGAGGTGTCTCTTCCCTGCCCAGGGCTACATTGTGGCTTGTAGCCATAACTACAGGAATTAAGCCCAAACTGCCCCAGCTGTGGCACCGCTCCAAGTTTAAAGCTGTGCAAGAGGAGAAGACAATTTTGGCAGTCTGATAATCTGTCTCCTGCCTGCTGTGCTGAGGAAATGCTGCATATGAGGAAGTACAGGAGGAACATCCCTTGTGCACCAGAGCAGGGTTTGCTATTGCCCTTGGGCCACCCATAGTGCATACACCTACAGCAGCAGCTCACTATGGTGTGAGCCCTGAGGTAGACATCCTTTACTGCATAGTAATGCTCATCTTTTGTCAAGTATTACCTTGCTCTCAAAATCATAAGCAAACAAATAAGCAAGATCTGTCCTTATTTACTAATGTTGTGTATACTGGAGCTTGGTGTTGCTGCAAGATATCAGAGGACTGCAGTTATATGAAAAGTTTAATATTGCACCAAGACCCTAATGCCTTTACTTTCTAGGGTCTTATACTAAAGAGAAAGTGAAAACAGAACATAGCCTGGTCTTCAAGGACCTCTGTAAAAATAAAAAGCTGTCTGTATCATCTGAGAAAGAAGAACTCCACCACATCTGCCTTTTCTCAGTCCTAAAGCATTCTTGATGAATTAAAGGACAGTAGTCACAGAGCCATTTGGCTGGAAGGAAAATCTAGGGCTCAGATCAAAATCTACAGTTTGAAGTTACAGATTTACAATGACAGGTTACAAGCAAAAACCCAATTGACATCAAAGCAGTCCATGTTACCGTGCTAACTGAGGTAAAAGAATTAACAAAGAATAATTAAAAAGATAAACAATAGTTATATATTTGGATTTCTTCAATAAACTTTAACTACAAAGGGAACCTGTCCACATGAAACAACATATTTTTAAAGCTTGCAATATGTGGAATTTTTCCACACTCATATGGGAAAAATTCCTTACAGAGCAAAGAAGCTCATGAAATCCCTCTGGGGATCTTCACTTTCCCTTGGCTGCTTCCACTGCTAGGGTTAAACATTTCCCCACTTTCTCCTAACTCAGTCCAAGCAGTATCCTGGAAATCTTCAGGAAAAGCCAGACTGAAACAATTAGTATGGTACACAAAAGACCAAAAATCTTCTAATCTGGGGGTGCTGGAGATTATATGCAATTGTCTGACTTGCAACAAAATCTAAAGACATAGAATCATAAAATCATAGAATAGTTAGGATTGGAAAGGGCCTTAAGATCATCTAGTTCCAACCCTCCTGCCATGGGCAGGGACACCTCACACTAAATCATCTCACCCAAGGCTTCATCCAACCTGGGCTTGAACACTGCCAGGGATGGAGCATTCACAACCTCCCTGGGCAACCCATTCCAGTGCCTCATCACCCTAACACGAAAGAATTTCCTCCTTATATATACATGTTTAGTCATTCCTCAAAGCACTGTCCCTCTTGCCTCAGACAAAACTGCACAGCATTGTAGACTTTGGAGAAATGCCCTTGGGAAGAGAACTTCCTGTCCGTCCCCAGCTACATGCTCCCTGGCAGCCATCAGATGACAGAAATAGCAGATGAGATGCAAGGAGAAAAGGTTCAGTCAAACTTTTCAAACCTGAAAGGCAGCAGATGGCCCAAGGCTGACAACATATTAGCCCAAGAAACTGAACATATCCTTATTTCTGTTTAATATCTAATTTCTGGGGCAATGATCCTTTAATATCTCTTTGCTAACATTTTCTATCTAGGAGATACCATGGGTGCTCGGGTTCCTGGAGCATCTTTAATGAATATGAGGGGGTGTAACTGTAGCCAGGAGAGCACAAATCCCTGCCTGGCCAACTCACCATCATCACAGTGCGGTAACAGGGTAGGTAAAATGTACAAGCCCTTACGGCCCTGAGCATTCACCAACCCAGCCAATAGCCAGGACCACACAGATGGTTTTCAGTAGGCTTCTTGTAGAAGTGGGATGTAAGAAAGGATTCAACAACAGATACCTGAAACAAAGGGCATGGTGACTACATGGTGTCTCAAGGAAAGGGTATGGAGAAGAAGCTGTGGAAAACCTTAGGTAAAAGAAAACAAAAAACCTGCAATTCATGGGAAGATGATGTGGGAGAAATGAGACCTACTGGAGAAAAAGCATCATTATTTCTTCAGTGCTCAAGTCTGTCTGCACTGGGAGACCTTAAACCCCCTTTGCAGTCACCCTGGTCCAACAACTATGTCTCCTTTGGGGACCTCAGTTAGCTTGGTAGGACCACAATACAACTGATCCACAGCCTGTGATCCAGCTGAATAGCTCATAATGCTGCCTCTTGCTTAGAAACATGCTTTTACTTCAAAGAAAATTTACACAATTACAAGATCATTAGCAAGGACATGCATAATGTAACATGGAACAAAAAAAAAAAGCTGCAGCTTCATTGCTAAAATGGATTAAGGGCTGAAATTCATGTAACCCATTAGAGCCTTTTATTTTACACACATAAGTGCCATTAGGATGCTAAGAGATCCATGTCTGAGCTTAAATAAAATAGAGGGGGCCAAACATTCAGCTGGTACAAGTCAGCCCAGCCCTTTTGCTGTTGAATTATTTTAGAATTATAGACTAGCTATGCACTTATTTAAGATGTGACTATTTTATGAGCATGACATGAATCTGCCCAGTAAGGAGAGGTTACAGAACCAGATGATGACACTTTGCAGCATGAGCACATTGGTCTAATTCTTGGATGAAAAAGTGGAAAGATAATAGAAATGAAGCCACTTAAAATTCCACCACTTAGGCCTGTTTCTATCAAGTATGTCAACTCTGATTCATACAGGCTTCAAGCCTTTTACCAGAGTCTGGGAAGTACCAAAACTAAAGGATATTAAAAAATATAAGAAGTTATGGTCTTTGGGAAGTGTAGTTTGTGAGTGTCCTGGGTTCAGCAGTAGCAGTCATTTTTCTCCTCCTTGGTAGCTGGTGCAGTGCAGTGTTTTGACTTTTGGCTTGGGAACAGAGCTGATAGTGATGTTTAGGTTTGGCCAAGGACTTTGTGAGCCTCATGCTCTGCCAGGGAGGAGGGGAAGCCGGGAGGAAGCAGAGACAGGACACCTGACCCAAACTGACCAAAGAGGTATTCCATACCACAGCACGTCATGCCCAGGATGCAACTGGGAGTTAGCCGGAAGGGCCGGGGACTGCAGGGTTGGAGGAGGTATCGGTTGGAGCTTGGTCGGGCTGGGGGGTGCGAGTTATCGGTTGGCTGGTGGTGAGATGATGTATTCTCTTCCCTTGTTATTTCCTTTATCATTATTATCATTGGTGGTAGCAGTAGTGATCTGTGTTATACCTTAGTTACTAAACTGTTCTTATCTCAACCCGTGGGAGTTGCATTCTTTTCGATTCTCCTCTCCGTCCCTCCGAGAGCAGGGGGAGGGCAAGAAAGGGGGGGAAGTGAGTGAACGAGTTACCTGACTGGGTTTAAACCACAACAGTGAGTTATGGAGATAGACAGTTGTACCTCATACCTATGAATCTTAGACCTCTGTCGCTCTCTCTACTGCTCTCCCTTTGTATTTGTTTTAGCAACAGGACCTGTCTAAGACCTGAGCAAAAATCTGGTGGGCTAAAGATCTAAGACAAGGGCTGGAAACCTGCTCTGAAGGCAGGCTTCATTCTAATTCACTTCAACCACGCTACCTACTCAAGAGTGGCCATCTGTACTCCCACTGCCCTACATCTCAAACATGAAGCTTACAGCAAGACTTGGAAGGGGCTTGTTTCTCACCATTAGCTACAGAGGGAATCTCAATGAGTCTCATAATAGATGTCCAGCTTCTAAACATCCATTTGTAAGTAAGACAAATCCCATGCTACAGGACTGGGAGGGATCTTACATGAATCTAGTTACGTAAGTGGGGCAAAAATGTTATACTTACTCCCATACTAGTCTCATATAATGTTGTCCAGTATTATCATTCAATAGTATCCAACAGTTTTAAATTTTTTCTTATTTATATCTGGCCTTTATTTGGCCTTTATTTTGGCCTTTATCCACAAGAAAATTCATCAGAGGATATGTTTAGAGGATATGATTCAAAGACAATCAGGCGCCAAATGTATCCCAAATTTTTTAACTGCTGTCAGTCCCATTTTTTTAAACACTTTACAAAAGAAAACAAGAACCACTGGTCACACTCTCAGTAAGTTAAAATAGAATAACAACAGTTCAAACAGGTGCTTATTGGATGACTAAATTTGAGGTACCTCAACATGAAAAATGCAATACTTGCCCCCTTATAATGGATCATATTGCCATCGAATTTCACTTTGTAGGTCTCAATACCCAGCTCTTTTGCCAGTCTGAGAATCCGGTTTTGGGTAGGTCCCACATATGCTCCACCAACATCTACGTAATTAACCTGATTGTTCTGTTAAAAGAAAGAATACAGGAATCAAAAGCTGCACAGGATGCTCTTCAATACAAATGTAGAAGTAGAAAGAATAATTCCATACTGATTAACACTGCAACTACATGCACATGTAATCACAGACACGCAGAAATCACAGTGTCTTCACTCTATCACACACACGTGCAATTTGGTTTAACTCTTGTTTAAATTCCCCTGTAGTTTTTAGCATTGGCTTTTAGGTCTCACAAAAGATATGAGAACCTGAAGAAATATCCAACCAAAACATTGCAAACCATTTGTTGAAACCACCTCCAGCACCAACGCTTGTTTTCTCTGTAGATAACTGCTTAGCAGTGGATGCTGAGCACTGCACTGCAGTATTCATGGAGAGTAATCTCCTTTCCAACACTGCACAACTTGGCTCCAGCCTGATGTGCCCTGGCTAGCAGCTCCCAGCAATGCTTGCCACCAAAGGTGCTCCATGCATCCCTCAGATCAGCATTATGCTCACTTGGGAAGCAGAAAGAAAGCCAAAGGTTTCAGGAATGAATACTATTACAAGCAGGCTGATTTTCCAAGATGGTAACTCTTTTTAACACTGTTTATAGTGAGCATTTTAAGCTAGGCATTTTCAGTGTCACAGAAGAATGGTGTTTATGCTTCATGTTTCATACACAATGATTTCTGCTGAAACACCACTGTTTATCTCTGGTTCCCCAGGAATGGCATCTGACATATTTTAAACTTCCCTTATTTTCAGGGTGGGGAGCAGAAGTAATGTCTGTATTACATTGTCCTGTGTCATAGGTAACTCCTTATTTCTCTCATTTTCTTTTTAATGGCAGCCAAGGCATGGTCCATTTTTAGAAGCATGAGTATTATTTCAGATAATTTAGCTGTGTTAAAATGTATGTCTGAGCTGTAATGATGTTTGGCTCTGCTCAGGCTACTTCTTATAGGGCTCTTAGTTACCATGTCTGTTATAGTATGCAAAGGGAGATGGGAATGACAGGAGAAATGCTTTCATACTCTTGGTCTCAAGATGATAGTTTTCCTCTGTAATGTTAAAGACAGAGCAGATCCTGCCATGGACAAAGGGTATGGACTGCATGGGTGGTACTCAATTACCTTAATACGGATGTTTAACACAATTTTATGCAGCCCAAGGTACCCAAGCTGAGCAAGGCTGACAAATTTGTCTCATGACCCATGGAAGACCTGCAGCTGGATACCAGGCAAGGTATCCTAGGGCAGCTGAAATGGTACTACATGCTTCTGGTTAGGTACCCAAGTCCCATTCAATGGCTCTCAGAATTGCTTCCAGTCCAATCTTAAAGCACCTCCTGTCAAGAGAAGCCCACTGGCACGTATTGCAGTGCAACCTCTTCAAACACAGCTCTATTACTTGACGGAAGTGATGGCAAATTGGGACAGTTGTCTGCTTTGGGAACTCGTACTCCCCTTTTTCTCCCTGGCAAAAGTCAAACCCAACAGTATCACAGAATGGTTGAGGTCAGAAGGGACCTCAGGAGGCCATCTGGTCCAACGCTCCCTGTCTGGCAAGGTCTCCTAGTGCAGGTTGGCCAGGACTGCATGCAGACAGCTTTTGAGTATCATCTCCCTGCTCTCTCAGCCTTTCCTCGTCAGAAAGAAGCTACAGTCCCCTCATCATCCAGATCATTAATGAAAATGCTGAACAGGACTGGACCCAGTATTGACCCTTGGGGTACACCTCAAGTTACCGGCCTCCAACTAGACTTAGTATCACAGATCACCATCCTGTGGAACAGGCTGTTCAGCCAGTTGTCAGTCATCTCACTGGCTGCTCAAACAGTACATACTTCATCAGCTTGTCTATGAGGATCTTACGGGAGACAGTGTTGAATTACTGAAGTCCTAGTAGATAATACCCAGTTTTCTCCTCATCTACTAAGCCAGTTGTTTTATGAAAGAAGGCTATTGGGCTGGTCAAGCATAACTTCCTCTTGGTGAATTCATGCTGACTGATGACTTTCTAGTCCTACATGTGCCTGGAAATGGTGTCCAGGGTTAGTTGCTCTACCCCTTTCGCGAGGACTGAGTTCAGGCTGACTGGCCTGTAATTCCCTGATTCCTCCTTCTTGCTCTTCTGGAAGACAGGAGTGACATTTGCCACACTGTAGATCAGCACAAGTGGGAGTCCAGCATCTCATGAAGTACTTACCCTAACAGTGAATGTCCTTCCTCCGACTCTATCCCGGGCCTCAAGAACCACCACATTGACCCCAGACTCAGACAGCAATTTGGCAGCTGACAAACCTACCAGAAAAAGACAAAGTGCTTTAAAGCAATGGTCAAAAACTGAACCAAAGCTTCAAGGTCAGAGATTTCCATACTGTTTTCAAAAATTCCTGAGAGAAGTCAGAAACTTTTCATGTCTTACCACAAAAATCATGTGGCTGCTGCTGCTTAGTTGCATGTTATAACCATATCCGTAAGCAGCATTCACAGACTGAAGTTTTCCTCCTTCCAGTTAGTATTTTGGCATTTTAAAACCAGTAAAATCTCAATTATTAAGGGACAAAAATGCTACTCTTCATTTGCACAGTACCTAGAAAGGCAGAGCCAGCTTGAGGGGCTTGGAGTGCCATAGAGGTAGAAATAATAATATATTAAGTAGGCATGTTACAGCAAGGTAGGCTTCCAACTTCTTCTCTCACTCATCAACTCTTCATTCTACTGCTATCCACTGTCCTCATTTACATGCAGGAAGAAAGACCGCTTCACTGTCAAGATTAATTTTAAGCAATGGAGTTTGACCATGGCAATCAAACACAGATACTTTATAAAAGGAATTATGGTCACAGCAAAAATCATCTAATTATGGGACTTTGTGATGGAGGCAGTACAGACAACTGAAAATTGGACAGGACAGGAGTCCTCTTTGCTTTTGACAAATGTGAGCTGAAATTGTAAAAAGCAATTATGAGTTTGTGAAATCAGATTATCCCACTGCCCTGCAGGCCAATTTAGCACTGAGGCATTGGTTCTTTGGAGTCGTTTCCCCTCCTTAAGTATAGAAAGCCAGCCGTATTGATCAGAACTTCCAAGATAGCCCACAGTAAAGAATAATAATATTATATTCATGTTTATTACACTACCTCAAAATGTGATTAAAAGCAACCGTTCATGAGCCAACAAAGAATGCATGTCTGAAAAGACCAGAGGAGAGGAATTGTTCTGGGTAGCATTAAGTGTACTTTCTTATTCTGAGGACAATACAGGAAACCCATAAACTTCTGTGCACGTAATCTTTTAATGGGGAAGTGGAATACCACACACTGGAAACCAGAACTGAGGAAGTTCAAATGGCTTACATTGACAAAAATTATACATACAATTTCCATTCTCATCTAAAAATAAATTTACATCCTTGCACTACATTCTTTCGATTACTGCAGCAGAAGAAGTATACTTGATTCTTCTATTTTTTTAGTTTTCTAATTTTCAAAAATGGAAGCAATTTTTCAGTAGAGTGAACATCTTCTAAATTGATCTCATTTATTTCAGCAGTATTTGATCATTTTTTTCCTGCATGAAAGTCTATAGAGAGCATTTAATTTTTTATTTTTTTATTTTTAATATTGAATTCTTCAATACTTTTGTGATGGCATTCTCTTCTTCCCCAACATAAGCACAGAAGACACAAGTCTATAATGCTGGGAATACAAACTGAAGTATTTTCTTACAAATATTTTTTTAAATGAGGAAAACATATTAAAAAAAAAAAAAAGATTTCCTACATATATAAAATAAAATAAAATATAAGTTGAATTTCTCTATTCTGCATAAATATTACTTGGACATTCAGGCATGAGTGCATAATTCTTATTTAAGCATTACAAAATTATGAATTTCTCTTGTAAGAAAGTCTACCACAGATATACAAGTCTTGAAAAAATGGACAGTGTATTCATGTGTCATCCTATCCTACATGAAGCAGACAAAAATCTGGCCTAGGTATGAAAAAAACAAACCCACAACCATTGTATGTGAATACTTAGTGCCTAACACCATCACTCCATGCTGTATTATGACAGCTATATTCATGCCATAGATGTGTAGGAAGAATAATGGTTGCACTGGACTGGGTTGGAAGTTAAGCTTGCTACTGGTTTATAGCTTAATTAGATGATATGTCCAAATAAAGAAGGACTGTTGAAGGATGAAGAATATGCGGCAGTAAGACTGAGGTTCTCTAACCTGTTTGCTTGTTAAACTGTAATTCCTGCATTCTGGCCTTACAGGTTTTTAGTCTCATTATTGTTTACCATGTGTCACCTTAGACACTGATTAGAAGAAAAAAAAAGTCTTCATAGGTACACAGAGTGGGAATGGGCAAGAGATACATTGGGACAGCAATGGCTTACTGGCAACTGCCAGAGGGCTCAACTCAGAAATCAAAACAGTGCGAAGTATGTTAATTAAAGAGTGTTACTATGTATTTATTTGTTTAAACCATGGAAACAATTTTCTTTGAAAATGGAAGACTACAATCAACACCCACACATGGGGTATTACTATGTAGCTGCCTATGGAGCCCAACTCTTCAGCTTCATTCTGGTGTAACCAAAGTGCACCAGATACAGCATCACAATCATGAAGCCTACATGCTTTTGGTACACAATTAGCCTCTGAATAGATTGTGTATTTTCCCTTTATCTTCTCCATAACTTGAATTTTCAAGGCTTTTGTTGCTGTTCCAGTACCCTCTACAGGACTGGATGCCAGAGAGTGACCATCTATTTCTGTTTGATTGATGAGGAGAGAATGAGAGAGAGGAAGAAATGAGACCTTTTCCAGCTGCTTGCCCCACCTCTGCCTGCTCAGCTCCCCTTGGGCCACACAGATGTAGTCTTCACCTCCTCTCCAACATCCCCATTACTTCCTCAGAGGACACTGCATGCCTTCCAGGAGCTGGCAAGGGGGAGAGCAGGACCTTCACACCACAAGAGCCTCCCACAACATGAGTATTCCCCTAGAGCCGTGGCCCTCCAGCACACATGGGCTCTGACACCACAATGTCCTGGGATATTGTGGATGTCCACAGTGCCCTGGGCAAAGCCAGGCACTGGGCTGTGACCTCTCAGGCTGCAGCCAGGGCTCAGGTGAGGTATTTTAAAAATCACCGGAGTATGCCTGTATGACTGCAGTAGGGACATGCCTGTCATAACCAAGGCCACTGCTGTGCCCCATTGCCACCTCCACCTTCTCCAAGTAAATCACACCAAATCACTGGCTGCACTCCTTCCAGATATCACTCTATGAATTAGAAAGAAACTACTTGCCACAGAAAGATGAAAAAGACCTGCCAAAACCGTGCCTCATTTGAAGTATCTGGCTGTAGAAAGTGACTTGTTATTATATGAGAATAAATAAGGAGAGATGGCTTATACATCCTCCACAAGGGTTTCTATGGCAATCTCACAAGAGGATCCCCCCCCCCCCCATCTGAAGAAGCCATGTGGTAAAGCCCCGTTTCTATTGATTCTGCAGCACTATTAAGGACTCAGAATTGCTGCTGCCACCAGAGATCATACTGCTGCTATTTTCCTTTCAGAAAACTGTCATAATTCTATCAAGCAAAGCAGTTTCAAGTGCATCAAAACACCAGATATACAGTTAAAAAATAAATAAGTAAAAGCAAGCAAGATGAATTCAAGCCAATCTGCAGACAAGACATACACCATGTCTGAAACACAGAGATGCTGAACAAAACTGGATTTTGCATGTAGGCTCATGGAAAATACAACAAAGCATGCCTCTACCTCATAGGAAAGAGAGGTTCAACTCTACATGTAGTGCACAAAACTGGGGCTTAAGAGACCTGAGTTTGATTCCCAAGTGAGTCCCACAATGTAGGGAATATTTGCCTGTTTTGTATGGAAGCGGTTATAAGGGTAGCATTTCTGAGAATAGTTCCAAGTTGCCTCAACACTGGAGTTGATACAGAGCATATGAACAGATAGAGGTTCTATAGCACAAATAGTGGGTGTTTTTAAAAAGTTACTTTATTGAAATGTGATAGTAATTCTACAGTAATAGTAAAGTAATTCTACTTTTCAAAATCTAGGCTCTGTAACCCACAGCATCAAACAGATTCACTGATACACCATGATGAGAAGCAAAAACCACCAACCAACAGCATCTTTTCCAGAGACAGCATACTTCTTATGCAATGCATGCTGAACATCTCCAATCCACAGAAGGGCAGTGGAGGGACACCAACCTTTTAACCTTTCAAACTGAGGCCACTACATATGTGCTGTATTGACCACACCAAAACAAAGGCAGAAGTTAGCTATTAATACTGAAAAGGTAAATTTCTGCTGGTTTTCTGGACACATTGTTTGCCTACTTGCTAGCTGCTTTGAAAAAGTGTGTTTGCTTTTATGGATCCTCCACTGGGTTAAAAGTTTAAAAAACCCAACCTAATACAGTATTCCTTCATAAAATCCTTGTTAATCCACCCTGCTTTAGAGGAGTGGGATAATTACATTGTGTGAAAGACTAATAAGCCATTACTGTAGTGTTCTAACCAAGCAGGTTTTAACTGAGTACTGCACAGAAAAAAGCTTTCTGGAAAATCTCTACATTTTTCTGATCTTAAGCAGGGGAATAATTCTAAACTTTTTTTCCCACATTATGCTAATACACACCATTAAAGTAAGACAATTGACAATATATCCTTGTGAAAGTTCCACTGTAACAGCATGCTAATGCTGGGATTATTTTTACCATTTCACTGGAGAAAAACTTAACTTTTTCCAGATGCAACTGGGTATTTATATCTGCCAGTGCCCACCTTAGAATAAGCTCTCACTATTCAGCTAGAAGTTTCTTTGGCAAGTACATAAACCTGTCAATAAGAGGTGAAAACCTTTCTGCCATGACCCAGGGTAATATCTCACTTCCTTACCTCTTTCTTTACCTTGCTTTGGTTTGTTGTTTTTCTTTTGTTTTGTTCGGGTTTTGTTTGTTTGTTTTGTTGTGTGCACCATTTTATGCAAATAAGTTTTACGATATAGTTAAAATGTACTCATTTATATCAGGCTGAGCAGAGAAATCACACATGGGCAGCAACATATAGAAGGCTGAGAAGAAAGAACTGTTTTCTTTCACATACTAAGGAACTGAAGATTTAAAACTGCCATTGAAAATGAACACCACCACCAACAAAAAATATTAAATTACAGCCCCTTAAATTTGCACAAAACAGTAGGAATACACATTGTGAATCATAAGTCTACATTAATTTC